GCTCTTCAGCTTAGTAATGGAGATGAGCACCGTCGGACAGAACTTGTCAACCTTGTCAATGGGGAATACCTTTACTTTTACCTTTAAACTCTCTGGATTTCTGGATCCCTTTGCCAGATCTCAGAATCCTCTCACACTTGTGTTTTTGTCAAATAATACCTCTCAGCCACTGGATCTGTCAAATCTTAATGCTGCCACCAATATGGGACAACTACCTCCCTAGCTGACACCAAATTGTATAATGAGACCATCAAATTTGGATCCCCCGCTTGAGTGACTCCCACATTTTCCTTCCTTTGGGCTACTCTGTAGAAAGACAGAGCACTCACTATTTTGAGTGTTCTCAGCAATAAAAGTATTATTAATCCCTGGTAGCATTTGACTTACAGTTTTTTTAAAATACTTCAAGCAACCACATGTTGAACCAAAACAAAAGAAAACTTTATTTACAAGATAGTATCTTCCTTCTGGTTGTTATTTAGAGTTGATGTGGTGTTTATGTGCTTAAACAGTTACAACAATTTACAGTATCTGTTACTATATTCTAGAAGTGGTCTCTAGGTTAGTTTCACATAAGACTTTTGACTAGACTCTGAGCTTTAAAATGTTGTTGCTACTTTATGACTTTTCTAGCTACACCAATTCAATTTCCACACTTAACCTCTTCCAAGGCCAACCTGGGTACCCAAAACCCCTTCCATCTGCTCCTTTCAACAGTGTATCTTAGCTACCTTGGCTGTTAAAACCCCCAGAGTCTATTAAACCCTTAACTCTATATCCAATTCCCTATCTACATCCACACTCCTCACTCAGTCTATTTATACTTGCTCCTGGGAGTAGCCCCCACCTTTTCTTGGTTAAGCTCCCATTGGCTGATGCCAAACTCACTCTGATTGGATGTTGCCAATTTTCCAATCTGCCCTCTCTCCAGAGAACTGAAATGTCACAATCTTTTACTGCCCTTTGTCCCTGCTTGCATTAAGATCCCTCCAGACCCATATTACATTACAACCAAAGTCATATCTGAGATAAAATGTAGGCCTGTGAATCTAACATGATCACTCTTCTGCTACTATATGATTTTTAACATCTTTGCCTGATGAAGAAGACAGTGAAGTCTCAAAAGCCTGCAATATGTATTTTGTGCATTTTAGCTGGGCCATAAAGGCATTACTGTGGCCAATACAGCTACCCCCAAATATAATCCGTAGGGTCACTTGATCAGTTCTTCACCCTGAAAGCTTCAACTCTTTTAAATTCTCCTCCAACTAGTATCTATATTTATTAGCTTCTACTATGAGTATTTTTACAGAACACTCAATAATTCCAATCTGGCATTTGTAGCACTAATGTTAAAGTTCAGCTCTGTTCAACTCCATTCTAAACCAAAAAAAAAAAAAATGATCTTACTTAAAAGCCAAAGGGCAGGTAACACCCTTTTGTGAGTTTGCCTTTGGAAAGAATTAATATCCCATTAGAATCACAGAAACACACACACACTTCAAATATATTTTGTCTTCTCCCGAATGTTATTCATTTCCTATTGAGCTTTAAAATGCATTAATGTTTATTTAATAAGAACTAAGCAAACAATCCACACAGATCTGAACAATATATTGCTCTGAAGATTTTGTACAAGACAGCCAAAGACTAGTTGTTTTTTCTTTAAAGAATCTCTTAGGTAACCTGTTCATCCCACACTTTCTCTGCTACTTTAATTATGCCAGCAGCAAAGATCTGGACATAATTTTATGTGTGTATGCATATACAACATTTTTTTAAAAAAACATTCTGTTAAAGCTAGAA